GTCCAAGCATTCCAGCAAGTGACAGTTAACATAGATTATTACAGTAAATACAGTTCTATTCAAAACCTTCACAAAAATCCACAGCACATCAGCATTTTCATGGTACAAAAATAAGTTACAAATCTGCATAAATATTTTACTCAAAACAGTTATAAAATATGCTGCATTTTCTGACAAGGTTACACAAAACAGTTTTTTTTTTATACCACTGGGTATTAATATTTTCAGTTTGGTGCTTGTTTAAAAAAAAACAAAAAAACAAAACAAAACACATTAATTTAATGACTATAAACTTAAAAAAAATAAAAAAGGTTAGTCCCATTTTTCTCCATATGTGGCAACAACAGTCATTTCAGGTAAATAAAACTGGAAAGTGAAAAAAGCCAAGCCTCACTTCCTCTTATCACCACTTTACTCCCCCTGTTCGGCAGAGACTGATGCCGAGCGTCCCATCCCATACAGATAAAGTTCCTATCAACAAGGATTTCCCCTTTAGTATCAAGTCGACAGATGACTCCTTAAAGGCTGAGCACAAAGACAGGAAGAAAAAGAGAAAAAGTGAGTTGTTCTCAGAAATCTTTTCCTGGATGTTCAGACATTAAGCTGACTTCCACTGTAGACACAGCATGATGTATTTTAGGGCTTCTACTGCACTGAACTAGTGAGGTCAATTAATGGAATCATGAACAACGGCCAAATATGACCTCGTGTTTGAGTGAGACTAGGAATCATCTTCGTTGGTGTTTCACCACAGGAGAGCCCGAGCCACAGGTAATACTGCAGATGCAGAAACATTAGCATATCGTCAGGACGTCATCATTATCTAAGAATATGAAAATTTTAAATGTGTGTGATACTACAGCAAAGACAGTCGAGTTAACAAGCAGGAACAAGGCGGCAGCTCTGTGTTAGGAACATATACAGAGCAAAACCACTGAAGCATCAAAAGCAGATGTTGCACAGATGTTGCAAAGATATTGATGCTGTCACATTAATGTATCAGCATGGTCTTTCTCTACCCCTGTAGACTGCTACAACAAAATATGAGTCTGGCCTTTATTAAAACAATTTAATATTTTAACTCAAAACTACATTTCCAAAAAAAATAAATATAAAGAAAATAACCAACAGTCTTGATTTCACACGTTCAAGACTTCCTAAAGAACTTTTAATTTACTTTTATTTCTTTGACCATTAAAAAAAAAAAAAAAAAAAAAAAGTAAAGTTTGTATTCCAACACAGTACAACAGTTACTAGCATTAGACTTATTCTGTTCTTATACAGTTGTAATGTATAGATACAGTACCAGTCAAAAACATTGCTGCTGGATATCTGGCTGTAATATGATGCAGCTACAGTTTGAGGTTCTGCTCATTTTTGTTCAGTATTTACAATAAATTCTTTATTGCACATTTGTCGTTTAGTACGTTGGCATTAATAACCAGGTCAGATTACTAGTGCACGTATATTTGAGTAACACGATTCTAATAGCTGGCTACAAACTACCGTGTGACATGTTTCAGCCAAATACACACTCACCATGCTGTGTGTGTAAAATTGATATCTAAATACACTATTTTTAAATGTATATCAATATGTTTATCAGTCTCTAACTTGTACAAACACGTTTGAAATGGTTACCTTACCTAGGCTTCAGCCGCTTTTGAGGAAGTGCTCTGTAAAAACAAGAAAAGTTTATGAGGCCACTGTGCAAGAGCATCTTCTGTATACAATTACATAATTTGATCAGGTGCGTGAGATGATGTCAGTCCATTATGACTAATTAAATGCAAGAACATTTATATGATATAAATGATATAATCCTGATCTGCCACGACATCAATCTCTTCCTATCCATCTCGTCTACATGTACATGGATTCAGCCTTCTATATTTACTGCCACAGGCACAAACCACCTCATCTGTTAGGGGGATGTCAAGCATTAGGACAACCTTGACATACAGTGGGTATGGAAAGTATTCAGACCCCCTTAAATTTTTCACTCTTTGTTATATTGCAGCCATATGCTAAAATCATTTAAGTTCATTTTTTTCCTCATTAATGTACACACAGCACCCCATATTGACAGAAAAACACAGAAT